ATGACATAAATAACAAATTAGGGTATATATGATAAAGATAATAAATTGGGAGCTATGCTGAGCAGTGGTGGCATACACCTTTAATCCCAGCACTTAGGAGGCAGAAGCAGAAGGATCTCTGTGAGTTCAAGGCCAGCCTGGTCTACAAAGCAAGTTCAGGACAGCCAGGGCTGAAACACAGAGAAACCCTGTCTCAGAAAACAAAACAAAACAATAAAATAAAATAAAATAAAAAATCAGGGGCTAGCAAGATGAATCAGGAGGTAGGAGTACTTGCAGCCAAGACTGCAGACAAAGTTTGATCCCTGGGACCACATGGTAAAGGGAAAGAACCAACTCCTACAGGTTGTCCTCTGACCTCCACACTGGTGCCGTGGCATGCACGTACACACACAATGATTAAATAAAGTTTTAAGTTTACAGGTTGGATACGATATAAAGTTAGTCATATACTTGATAATAATTAGAATGATCACAGTAACACTGTAATCAATGATAGGCATGTTCTCTCTCAGAATCTTATTGCATTGTACACATTCAGGTTAACCAGGGCAACTGAAATGGTGAAAACTGTGACCTCAGACAAGTGGACAGGTTGAAGCAATGCTTTTAAGTCAGGGAAAACAGGGTTGGGGTGCAGCTGAGTGGTAGAGGTTATGTTTGGCATGTGTGAGACCCTGAATTTCATGCATTCCCAGCAACACGAAAGAGGGGCGCATGTGTGCTATCAAAAGGCTGGAGGCTAGCTAACATCTGGATCTACTTAATCCCAAGAACGGCTTACTAAACGGCTGAAGGCATCGTGCCCATTGCACTTAACTTCTAGTTCAACACTCTAAGGGAGGGAAGCAGAATGCAGAGGGAGAGCACAGGGCCCACATTTAAGCATTTCTCAGCTAACTTCCAAAGAGCAGAGTGAGGTCAGCTGGGGCCAGGTCATAGCAGCTTGCCTAACTAAGGCAGAGGTGAACTTGCCACACCCCCAAAGGGAGTGGAGGTCAAAGTCCACTAACTGTAGTTTTTCCATAGGCTGTCCGTATCAAACCTTTCTCTTTTAATTATTTCTTCTGGCAGCTTCAGAGGCAGACTACAGGCTTAGGGGAAGCCTGGAAGTGCAGACAGAGCACACACAGGCCTGCCCTCCACCCAAACACACAGACGCTGCTGCTGGGACAATGACCATGGTGCTACACTGGCAGCTGCTGTGTGTGAAGCGACAGTGAAGAGCTCTGATCATGGTCTGTGGATCTTAAACCAGGAAGGGGGAGACAAATTCCAGCAGTGTGATAGGAACAGGAAGCCAGTGATGCCAGCACTCAGGAAGCTGAAGCAAGACTGACACTTGAGCCAGGAGTTCAAGGCCAATTCAGGAACGTGGCCAGACACCCATCTCAAAAGTTGGTTGGTTTGTTGTTTTTAACTCTTAGATTTATTTATGTATGTAAGTATTTTACCTGCATGTGTGTGTGTGTACCACTTATGTGCTGAGGAGGTCAGAGGAGGGTGTCAGATCCCCTGGAACGGATGGCTGCTGGGTAGCAAACTAAGGTCCTCTGCAACAATAACAAGTAATCTTAGCCACTAAGCCATCTCCCCAGCCCGTTTTTATTTCTCAATGAAAAAGTGATCTGTGAAAAATGAGGCAGATCTACTGTGTTTACAGGGAGCAAATTCCCCTTGATTAATGAAGCTGCTGTTTTCCTTTCAAGCGTGGCCAGGGCGTGCAAAAACAGTAATGTACTATTATTGTGTAAGAGAAAGGAAAACTTGAAGGGTGGGTGAATATATCTGACGATTCCAATAGCAGTTGCCGTGGGGCAGAAGATGAGGTATGGGACTGAATCTGTGGAAGGGATGGGCTTCTTTTATAATTTTATACCTTATGCATTGCTTTGTATGTGTAAAACTCTAATATATGTATGTCTTCGTATACATTATGTGTATACGTACATACAAATGTGCATAAGTATGTATACATACAAAGAGCAGGGGACACTGTGCACATTTCATCTTCCCAGAACTTCCTGTCCTCCTTCAGGGGCTAGCTGTCTGCTGCCTGCCCACCTCCACCTGACCCACCCACCCAGCCCAGTCTCCTGTCAAACTCAGGACACCTTCTCCAGCTGTCCCATGCACCCCTTAAGTCAGGATGTCCGTTCTACGTCACACACTGCAGGCACCTGGAAGCTGATGGAGTCTATCTAGTTTTCCCTCTCAGATACATCTGCCTGTTAACAGTGAACTCCAACCAGAGAGTGACAGAGAAGACTGGGACGGGAGGGGCAGGGTAAGAACACTAGGAGGGTCAGGAGGCCTGGGTCTTGTTCAGCCTGTGACTTAGGACAAACGGTTTCATCTTTCTGAGTCTCAGTGTCGTTAACTGAAAAAGAAGGTGGCTGCAAGATACCATCTGCAACTGAGACTCTCTAGACCCAGCATCTCCCAATCCCAGCATGCACTTCTCCTCTCGGACATCCATCCCCCTTGGAAACTGGCCAGCATGTGTGGTGTCTTGAATGGCACTGTTCAAATGCAAACAGCATTAAGACATTTTAAACATTCTAGAAACCTCACTACAAAAAGCAGAAACAGCTGAAATTAGTTTCAATAGATTTTATTTAACCCAATATACCCAAAATATTATCATTTCAACATTCAATCAATATAAAAAATCTTTGTATTTCCACTCTTTTATTTTAGTTTTGTTTGTATGTTTTAGTGCTTGGTCTTCGAAATCGAGTGTGTATGTTTTACAATGACAGAATGTGTCTTACACAGATGAGCCACATCATGCTCAAAAGTCATCTTTGGCTGATGGTTCCTGTACTGTTCTACCAAGAAGGCCCACCCTTCACTTTGACCTTGCTACGCCCAGAGCTGAGGACCAGCCTACATCCTTGGAAAGGCCAAAGTAACAGACAGCAGCGGTTTCGGTTGCAAGTTCCTCACCTGACAGGCAGGTGGTTAGGGCTGGGTACAGACAGCCCTGCAGCATTCAAGACAATAACCAGAGCCCCACAGGCCACCAGGAGAACAACAGTGAGGAACAGCAGGGGAGAGCAGAAAGACAAGCTGGGCACAATCAAGCTATATGTTCAGGGCTTCATAGCATAGCACAAGTTCCGAAAGTATGTGCCTGCTTTGATCATCCATTCGTTCACCCCTCTGAACACTGGTGCATGCTCAGCTGGGCCTCAGCCCAGCCACCACTCACAAGAACTCTTCCTTGGGGCAGGAGAAAAGTGTCAAAAAGCTTCCTAAGTGCCCAGTTCATCATGTAAGTCCCTGTGAGATGAGGGATGACTTACAGATGAGAAGGTGGAATTCTGCCCAGCAGCACCCACCCAGCAGAGCAGGAATGTGAGGTTTGTTCTGCAGCTTCAAAGAGCTCACAGCACTGGCAAGGCAAACAGTCCCACCACCACCAAGTCACCACCAGTGCAGGAGGAGCATGAGACAGGGGCTGGGGAAGCAGAAAGAGCTAGTGAAGGATGTTAGGTAAACCCTGAGCAAGCCTGAAAAGCCAAGGGTCTCCTGGGACAGAGCTGGAGTAACAGCTAAGCCACCATGGAGAGGCCTGAGGAAGGCCTGGCAGCTAGAATGCAGTATGCCCAGGGAACAGGGTAACATAGCAAAGGAGCTGCCAGCCAAACCCCCAAACATGGGGCCTAAGTTTCTAATAAGAATCTAGATTTGTATCCTGTGGACCATGGAAGCTATTAAGAGGTTTTTCCTAGGGCAGTGAATGTCCAGATTCTCATTTCAAAACCATTCTCATAAGGTGCATGAGTCACAAATGTCCAAGAAGCTGGTGGGTGGAGGTCATCATTCAAGCCCGGGAGTTCTGGGCCAAATTGGGCAACAACAGTGAGTCTGCCATCTCAAAAGCAAGCGAGGGAGGAGCCATTGACAAGGGGTCTCTGCCCTTCCTGGATCCTTTTCTTTCCCCACTCATCCGAGGTCTATTTAAAGGTCACACACAAAATGATAGGGAAAGGCTGTCATGGCTCCCAAGTCTTCAGGATGCAGATGGAGTTCTAAATATCTGTGAAGTTTCCTCTTCTAAGGAAAAGCTGTTGACTCACACAGTTCCTTAAAATCAACCAGCAAAAAGCTAGCAAACCCTCTCTGCATTCTCATCATCCACTCTGACAGAGATTGTGTGACAGATGGCCGGCTGAGGGCCTCCATAGAGGTCACACCAGAATGAAATACAATTTACCTACACAGAAACACACAAGACGTTTGTGGCCATCAAAAGAAATGCTGAAACATGCCCGGTGCCTCCTCCCTGAGGTCTGTCCCTTTGGCCCCCATCAGCCCCCACAGCTCTTCCAGCTCACCTGATTACCCAGTTCCATTTTCAGCTCTCAGCTCTGACACTGGCCTACTTTTCACACCACACAAGCAAAGAAACTTGGGCATTTTACAAACAAGAGACCACAACTAGGACAACAGGGCACAGAGAAAGGACCTGCCACAGTGTACACCAGGGAGAAACAGGGATGAGACAAAGTGAGCTGGACGGGTCAAAGGGTGGTGGGGTACAGTGAGAAGACGGTGGGTCCACGAGAGTTGTGCTTGGCCCCTGGCATACTGGAAAGCTGAGCTAAGTAAGACTGAGAGGCACCAAGAAAGATCACATTCCCCAGAGATAAGGTCGGGCAGGCTCACTTTGCTCCCAGTGGTCACCTGGGTGGGTCAGAAGCCACATTCTGCCTGAATAGCAAAATGCCTCAAGCAGATGCCTCTTGCCCCACGGCAGGACCAGTGGGAGGGGATGGCATGTGTGGGAGGAGAATGGGAGAAGAGGCGGCTCTGGTTTCACTCGAATTCAAATACTGCCCGGTGGCGCGATTCTCAGAGGTAAGTTTTTCAGAAGCGAAGGCTTCTCCATCAGATATGTGTGAACTCCCAGCTAGCCCCGTTAGCACCCTGACCTGGAAAGTCACCCTCTGCCTTTGTCAAGAAAACAGGGATGTTTCGAGACACATTTCCTGCTCCAGAGCCCCTCCTTTTTGAGGAGCTGTTGCAGTAAGAGGTAACAACTGCTCTGGGCAGCCAGACCTCTGTTCTGCGTAGCTGGGCCTCAGGAGCCACTATTTCCTCATTCCCTTTGAGGCCAGCCACATGGGATGCCAGAAGGGAGGGCTCAAAGGCAGCAAGCCACAGCTCACCTGCCTTGGTCACTCTTTCTAGAATGACGTGGGCCCACTCCCACGGTGCCATCTGGGGCTCAGCCACTGGACTCAACTTTGCTGCTTCTGTAGATGTGGACTGTGAGAGGCCAAGGCAGCCAGGGGAGGACCACTCAGTCACGGAGGGCAAGCGGGTACAGCCGAGAGAGCGTGGCCTTCTGGATCCGGCGGAAGAGGTGGGCCAGCTGGTACAGGAAGGGCAGTGAAGAAGGGGTTGCTGTGGAAAGTAAAGACTATCATGAGTGCTCTTCCCTCAGCCCTCAACGGGGGCTGGAAGCGGGCTGGAAAACACATCTGGGCTTCCTGCTTTCAGACGCCTTCCCAACAACAGGGAGTTTCTCTTTCTCTGAGATATGTTTTCTCTACTCAAACTACAATAACCTTAAATATTCTGGGAAACATCCAGATTCATTACATCATAATCTTTCTGATATATTCAGAGATACTGGTGACTCTCAAGAGAAGCCCACCCCCATGCTTCCAGGTGTGCCTCGCTGGCTTCCTTCCAAGTACCTCTCTTTCTAATTCCTATGCTTAGGCCTATATTACAATATTTTCATTGGGGCTGGAGAGACGGCTCAGTGGTTGAGAGCACTGGCTGCTCTTGCAAAGGCCTGGGTTCAGTTCCCGGGATCAACATGGAGGCTCCCAACCGTCTGTAATACCAGTTCCAGGGGATCTGACACTTCTGGCCTCCAAGAGCACCAGGCACACATGTGGCGCACACACATACATGCTGACTCATACACATTTTTTAAAATCTAAAAAATGCTTATTAAGCCCCAACTCATGAAAAAAGTAAATGCTCTGCTGGCAGCAATGGCTAGCCCTGGGGAGTCTCTCTAGGAGACTTTCACTACATCTTGTACCTGCCTTATGACAGTGTTCCCTGTTTAACCACAAATTACACTGAAAATAAGTAAAAACCTACCACTTGTCTATTTTCCTTGTTTGGGTTACATATTTAAAAAACAAAAACAGATTTCCATCTTTGTTTTGGTTTGATTTGGGGAAGGTGGTTTTGTTTTGTTTGAGGCAGGGTCTTATGTAGCCCAGGCTGGCCTGGGACTTTTACAGACAAGGATGATTGGCCCTTTGATCTTTCTGTCTTCGTTCCCTAAATGCTGGAACCACAGGGATGTGCCACCATACCAGGTCTCATGCGGTGCCTGAGTACATACCAGGCCTCAGTACATACCAGGCAAACATGGTATCTCAGCTCATCCACGGCCTCTAATTAAGAAATACATATTTCTTTCTTAAGCAGAAGAAATACCCCAGGCCCTTAGAAGGCCGAAGCAGGAGCTTAGCTGGGACTAGAGGTTGAGACCAGGCTGGACAACACGAGACACACACAGTGCTGCCCCTCAAACGGGAAAAAGCAGTGTTTAGGACTAAGGAGAGGGCTCAGTGGGTAAAGTCCTTGTGGAACAAGTGTGAAGACCCTGGTTTGAATCCTGAACACCCACGTGAAAGCCAGGCACCGTAGGAGCATGAGCCTGTAATCCCATGGCAAGATCCAGGTTCAGTGCACACATGATGGAAGGGAAGAAAGGTATTTATTTAGTCCTCTAAGGTTGGGGGTGAAACCAGGGCTTCACAAAAGCTATGTAAGCCATCTACCACCGAAAACTACCCCTAACCCTCCACACATGTTATTTTTCTTTAAAGTAACTGACCTCCTCCTTCCAAGTTCTGTTTGCAGCCCACCCCCAGGTCCTCCTCTCCTGAGGACCAGGGCACATCTGGGGATGCTCTGAGTGACCCAGGACACACCCAAGTTCAAACAGCTTTCTGCATCACCATTTAGATGATCAGAGTTTATGACACAAAGGGGTTTGGGGGAAGTCATAAAGAATTTCTAAATTCTTGTCACGTCTACAGAGTAGAAGTCAGGGACAGGCATAAACCACACAGACTAAATGTCCCTTTCTTAAATGTATTTTTCCAGTCTGAGAGTACGCTTCCCACAACAGGTGTGGCTGCTTGCTGGTCTTTTTCAGCATTTCTGGAAGCTGCAGGTGACTTTCCTATATAATTGTCCAGGGGAGACATTCCTTCTCAGAATCCAGCAAACAGACAAACTCTAACTAAAGAAAAGGAGAAGTGAGAAAAACAAGGACCTAAAGTCAAAAGCTGACAGCTTTAAAAACAGGGAGATGTGTGACTCTGGTCTAGTCACTTTGCCTCTCTGGTTATTAGATTTCTCAACCAAAAATGAAAGAAAATGAATGGACCAAAATAAAGGATTTTCATTTCCCCTTGGTTTTGAAAGTTGCGTGACTCTACCCTACATCTAAATTCTTGAAAGAAGTAGAGGCTAGACCACAATTCATAAAGCAAGGGTAAGACAGAAAACCTGGCTTGGGGATGGATGCACACCTGCAATTGCAGCATTTGGGAGGCTGAAACAAAAACATTAGAGGACACTCTGTACTGACAGCAAGACCGTTTGTTTGTTTGTTTGTTTAGGTGGAGAAGGGTGTTTCTCAAATAATGGCCCCCTAACTATGGCCCAGTGTCTGCACATCTGGGTGATCACTCCTCAGGAAACCACCAGGTGTGTTCCCAAGTCTCACTTGGAAAGCTCATCTCTATGTTACAGTGAAGGAGAAGAGACGAACCACCTTGAGGCCCAGCACATATCAGCAAGGGAGGGTTCTATAGCCATAAGATCACCAAGCTGTTTCCAGTTATTTTCCCATAATTCCCCGAGGCCCAGCACATACCAGCAGGGAGGGTTCTGTAACCAGATCATCAAGCTTTCCAGTTACTTTCCCACATCTTCTAAAATACATCAGAATTTCACTTACAATTCAAGGTCACACTAGCCAGGAGACACCTGATCAACAGACTCTATTTTAGGTGTTATCGATAAGGAAGGCGTCCTTATCTTGCATTCTGACTAGAGGTCATCCCTGGATGGAGCAGAGGCCTAGGTGACTCCATCAGCAGGGCGGGAAATGTTCTCCAACTGTTCTCCTAGGTTCCAGGCCTGGACTCTCCTGCCATGTGAAGTTGACTCTTATTTTTTATGGAAGAGGCTCAGAGAACAATGTCACAGAGGGTGGCTCTGTCTCAGGGGCACCTGCCCTCACAGGCCCTGCTGTAGGTGCCCTTCACTCACCTGGGTCAAACCGCAGAACCAGGAGACAGAGGATCAAGGCGGCCAGGAGGCTCTTTTTGAAGGGCTGAGAGAGGAGGTGGCTCGCCGCAGCGTCCCAAAGCCGGCGAAGCAACCTCAGCAGTGACATCAGCTTATGGGAGAAAGAACCTGACCAGGGGACAGAGCATTGCAGGGTGAGTCGGGCAGATCAGTTTCCCTGGCTCTGAGCCTTGAGCCAGATCTGAAGAGTCAATCAAAATACGATGAGAATGATTTCCTCGGCTCATGAAATAGTTCAAAAGAAAACTCAGAGAACTCTAAGAATGACATTGTTTGTTTGGAGGTTCAGTTCAGCTTCTGCCATGCTGGGAACAGATCCATGACCTTGCAGATACTTGGCAAGTATTCTACCACTCAGCTGCACCCACAGCCATCCAAAGATGTTCTAAGGACTGTATGAAGACACAGTCAGTGCACATGAGACCTGCTCAGCTGTGTAAGTGTGTGTCTGGGAACAGCCCCCTTATTTTACAGCATTTGTCAATCTTACAAACTGACATGAGTAAAATAACTCAGAGCCTTACTAGTGACACAGTAACACCTCGAAATGAAGGGCCTTTAATATATGCAGTAGAGAATTCAAGACTGGGATTGTGAATAAAATCATGATTACTAGTAGCCCAAAGACAAACAGGGCCAGTCCTGACAGAAGCCCCTGGACTTGCCACAGGGATTACGGTTGTGCTATTAAGTTTCATGTCACTTGGGAAGAGAGAACCTCTACTGAGACAATGCTCCCACCAGATTGCCCTGGGAGCAATCCTGGGGAGCATTTTCTTGATTAATTATTGATGTGTGTGAGCCTATCCCACAGGGGTAGGACACCCCTGGATGGTGGTCCTGGGTTCTGTAAGAAAGCAGGCTGTTAATTCCCCAAGGAAGGCCTTACCCCCTCTGAGGAGTGGATAGAAGGTAGGAAGAAGGGGGAGAAGAGGGAATGGAAACAGATTGGTATGTAAAATGAAAAATAAATTAAGAAATGCCATAAATGAAACCAACTGCTTTGTAGTGTAACCTTAAAAAAACTAATAAAAAATAAAATAAACATAAAAAAAGCAGGCTGACCAAGCCAAGAGGATCAGGTCAGTAAGCAGCACCCCTCCCCACATGACTTCTACATCAGTTCCTGCCTCCAGGTTCCTGTCTTCAGTTCCTGCCCTGACTTCCTTTAATAATGGACTGTGACGGGGAAGTGTAAGATGAAATAAACCCTTTCCTCTTCAAATTGCTTTTGGTCATAGTGTTTTATCACAGCAATAGAAACCTAACTAAGGCAAAGGTAGAAGGCCTGGCAGCCACAGGCAACTCCTGAAACCAACAACCTGACAGCAAAGCAGGCCTAAGATCCCAGCAGGTCCACAGAGAAAAGTACTTTGGAGAACAGAGTTATAATTTCCTAATTAATGACAGGCTTTCATGTACATTTTAAAAAGAAGAAAATTTAACAATCCCTAAGCTGTCCAAAGACAGAAGATGTTAGAAGAAGGCATAAAGCCAATTGTCTTTCTAGTTCTACTCTGAAATGGATATTTTGCTTCTGATGGTGGCTAAGTACCGAAAAATATATTTAATGTGGAAGTATAAAATCCACTGTGAAACTCCACAGCTTCTGTTCCGAATGGCTATTCAAACTGTATAGAAGATCATTGAATTGTATAGTCTTTCAGTCTCATTAATTTTGGTGTGTGTTTTATTTTGTTGTTGTTTTGTTTTAATCTACAATCACTTTTTTCATATCCAAATTTTTATTTAGTTTATTTATGCCACCACACAATAAAGTGATATCACAGCAAATAAAAGGGATACAATCTTTTCTATAATAAAGTTTACACACACACATTATGTGTTCAGTTCCTGGCATCCACATTCTGGGGTTCACAACTGCCTGTAACTCCAGCCCCAGGGGGATCTCTAGCCTCCATGGGTACCTGCATTCACACACCCACATCCATACACAGACATATACATAGGCATAATTTAAAATAATAAAAAATAAATCTTTAAAAATGGACAGAAAGCACTGCTCCAAGAGACAGGTAATGTTCTAACCTCGGAAGTGTTCACACACAGGCTGAAGGAAAGGGACTGAAAAGACTGAGGTGCAGTGATGGTTTGGGGCCAGGGGCCTTTAGGTTCCTGCAACAGAACAACCCACTCCCAGCTCCGTGCCACTGCCTTGTGAGGATGCTACCAGAAGACACTGGGTAGCACAACTGCATGTAAATGAACACGGCAGACCTCAGCTAAAAACACAAACACTCAAAGCTCTGGTTAAGTGAAGGCAGATAGGAGACGGTGCATAAAGACCCAAAGCTGAAGGAGGTCATTTTTATTTCATGAGTTAATGAGTTAAGCTGTGTGTCTAATAGGGCCAGCATTTAAAGGAGGCGTAACAGCTCCCAGACCAGTATGATAGAAGCAAAAAAACTAGAAAGGATCCCAAGGAAATGACCAATCAGATTCCAAAGGAAGGTGACTTCTCTTTCTTTTTTGTTTTGTTTTTTCAAGACAGGATTTCTCTGTGTAGCTCTGGCTGTCATAGAACTCACTCCATAGACCAGGCTGTCCTTGAACTCATAGAGATCCACCTTCCTCTGCCTCCCAGGTGCTGGGGTTAAAGTTGTACACTACCACAATCAGCCTTTAGTCCCCAAAACTGGGAGACAAATCAGGGTCAGGGGACTCAACACCTCCCCAATTTCGGAGGATCTAGCTTGGTTTGTAATATGACACAGTGACTTAAATCTTCAAGTTCCTAAACTTGGTACAGGGGATGCCATGGGACCCCTTTGCAGAGGCCATAGAGCCCTGATGTCCTACCTTCCTGGCTCATCTGCTGCTGCTCCTGAGAACTCAAATGCTCCCGTGTGTGCTGTTGCCTTGCTGTGCAGATGGCCTGGAGCACTGCTTCCCGCTGCTCTTCGCTGAAAGCTGCAGAGCCCACTGCCAGCCCCTCAGCCTCTGACAAGCGGCCCAAGGGTAGCAGCACCCGGAGCAGGTGGAGTTCTGCCAGTGATCCATACTCAGGAAGGCCCTGGTTGTCTGGGTCTTGGAGCCAGGCATCAGCCATAGCCAGCACAGCTCTTGGCTCTCGCATTTTGCTGTATAAAAGGATGCTGTGTCCCCAAACAATCCCCAAAAGAAAAGAATCAGTACTCTACAGCTGGCTCATTCTCAAAACCACAAAGTTCTGTAATCCCACCCTCCCAGGTCCTCCAGCCCTTCCCTGGGGATACGGACACTGTTAAGAATTAAAAACTGGAAGGTTGGAGAGATAGTGATTAGTAGTGCGTACTTCTCTCACAGAGGACTGGAGTTTGATTCACAACACTCATATTGAACAGTTTACAATCACCTGTAACTCCAGCTCTGGGATATCTGAGACAATTTCCTGGCCTCCAAGGGCACTGGCACTCATGTGTACACATGTGCTCGTACTCACACACACACACTCTCACACACACACAAATTTTCTAGATAATAACAATAATTTTAAGAATTAGAGATTGTGCTTGGTGGTGGTGGTACATGCCTTTAATCCCATCACTCCGGAGACAGAGGCAGGTGGATCTCTGTGAGTTCGAGGCCAGCCTGGTCTACAAAATTAGTTCTAGGACAGCCAAGGCTATTACACAGGAAAAAAAATGGATACTGAGGACTTGAGAGATGCCTCAGAGGTTAAGAGCACTGGCTGTTCCTCCAAAGGACCCAGGTTCAATTCTCAGCACCCACATGGAGTCTTACAACTGTTTATAACTGAAGTTCCAGGGAATTCAACACCCTTCTCTGGCATCTGTGGGCATCAGGCACGCATGTAGTGCATACATGCAATGCATGTAATACATTCAGGCAAAACACCCATACACATAATAAAGCAAAAAGTAAAATACTTTTTAAAGAGCATTATCTGTACAATCCTGAGGATCAGAATTGGGGAGGGGAGGCTGGCACCCACGTAACAAGCCTAATGTGGTTCTACCCACATCTGTAATTCCAGCATTGAGGGGGGAAGAGACAGGAGGATCACTGGGTCTTGCTGGCTAATAACCTAGCCAAGAAAGAAGGTGAGCTTCAGCTTCAGAAAGAGGCCCTGCCTCAGAGGAATAAAGCAGAGAATGATGGAGGACTCCAAATACCCTTCTCTAATCTCCATGCACGCACGCACGCAGGCACTCAGGCACGCAGGCACGCAGGCACGCGAACACTCACACACACACACACACACACACACACACACACACACACACATACACACCAAAATGGGGGGGGGATCTCCGGGAGGCAGCAGGATGCTTGATTGGCCCTGTCCCCTCATTAGACTGCTTCACTATTACCAGTGTGTGCTCTCTTTTCTTGTACCCTACTCCCAAACACGGCTTCCTCATCCTTAGCTGCTGTGGTCTGAGGTCTGAACAAAGTGGGGAGACCTGAACTTGAAGGAAACTGACGAGAAGGAGGATGAAGGAGTCATGAGACCCTGACTCAAGAAGGGACTTGTGTTCCTACACTGGCCCAATGTCAGCACGAGGAACTTACCATAGCTCCAGGACTTTGGGAGGAAGCTTTTCAGGAACCTGATAATACTGGAGGACCCAGGACAGGACTTCTCTCCACCGATTCATTTCTGCCAGAGCCTGGATCCCCACGACACACAGGGAGCACTTCACCTCCACAACACTGTCAGCGGAAAGACACGAGTCAGGGTTACAAGTGCTTCCCCTCTCTCCATTCCCCTCTTCCACTCAGACAGGCATCCAGCTTCCACTCGGAGGCTACCACCCAGTCAGAACTGAATGAGCCGGAAGGTAATCTTGGAAATGGCATGCAGCCACCAGGTGTGTTGACGGAGAGTGGGCAGCAAGAATTTGCTTAGTGACAGGTGGGCTTGGAGAGGTGTCTGGCCAGGTGTTTCTATAGAAACTCAACTGGCCTCTAAGAATTAGCTATGTCCAGATGCTCATAAGCCAAGCCCTCAACATTCGATGTGCAACCTCTGCCCCCCTAAAACCACAGCCAATTTCTCCAGGTTTTATTTCTCTGCTATCAAATTGGACTATTCATTCTGCCTACTCCTCCTTAGTATGTTCATACAGCCCTAAGGAAGGTAACGCTCCACAGAGCAATGGTGCCCCCAGCTGCCAGAGGAGGTCTATGCATTAGAATGAGCAACCCGGGGGCAAAGATTTCCTAAAAGTAATTCATCCAACCCTTCAACCGGACCAGACCACTCTGCCTTGACCCCATGTCCATGATCTGACAAAACCAGGAGTGAATAAGGGGTGGGTCCCCAAAGGAGGCCTCCTGCTCCCTGACAACTGAACCCCTCACAACTGAACACTTAATTGACATCCACCCTGTCCTCCTGCACTGAAAGAGTGAGCGAAGAACTGGCTGTGGCTATCCCCCAAACTGTTCATGATTTGACTTCTTTATTGTACGTGACCCTTTCTTCCTCAGTAGCACGGGTGCAGAATGAGCAACCAGCCTCTCCCAGAGAGGATCCCCTAGTGAAAGCAAGGTGTCAGGTTGGTGCAATCTGGCAATGCCAGAAAGTCCTCCCCAAAAGGATCAGAAAGGAAGGCAGCCCAGCACATACGTGCCACTTGTGGGCTCCTCGGCCAAGCTCTGCCAAGCCCGTTCGCAAGTCTCTAATGCGGCGTGGAAGTCCAGATGCACCACCAACAGGTCGGCCGCCTCCTCTAGCAGGTACACCGCGGGTGGCACAGCCGGAAGGGCACGCGCAGGCTCGCTGCTCCGCAAAGGGCCCACGAGCCCTTTCATGGGGGCTGCAGAAGTCGAGGAGTCGTTCTTCATAGCCAGCCTTGGCTCGGCCGGGTCTCCTCACACGTCAGGAGCCTGCTAGAAATCCGGAATGGGCCCGACAGATGACCGGCAGGCGTTGTGCTCCACGCCTCTCCAGGTCAGATCCTAGGAAAGGACCATGAAGATGCTGGACCCGAGGCACAGCCCGCGCTCACCGACAGCCTAACTCTGGCGGGACTGGCCTGCACATACGTCGTGATGCTGCCGAACGCCAGGCACTTGCTCCTCCCACACCCCCGACAAGCGCTGGAAGCACCCGAGCTCCCAGAGTCGCAAGCTCGCCCTACTCTAACTACCCACAAGAGCTTGACAACTCCGCCTCCGCCCCGCCACTACGGCGCACGCGCGCGCCCTGGAGCGCGGGACTCTGGGAGTTGTAGTCCTGGCCTCTTGTCTCTGCGACGCTTAGGGGAGCGTTCCCACTACAACCTCAAACCTCTGGCACCCGGAGACTGTCATCCTCCAGAGAACGCACCAGCTCACCAGCTTTGGGTTGGAAAAGGTGGGGCAGCTAAACCATTAGTAAAATCGCCTGTGTCCTGTGAAATACGATCCTTCTCTCACGAACCGGAAGAGGCCCAGTAAGGAGGTGGAGCTACCTGCACCTTTATTCTGAACTTCCGAAGGGGTGCGTTGACAGGGAGCGTAGGACAATGAAACACCGAACTAGCTATTTCCCCTTCCTGGGTTCTTTACTTTTAAAGTGTGGCACAGTGCAACGTGCTTTCCGTGCATTCTTAGTTATTTCATCATCTCTATGAGTTATTACTCTATTTTACAGTCGAGGTAGGTCACAAAAACACTGTCAAACCAAAGAAGCACTTTTTCATTGAAAGGAATGTCGGAGTGGAGATAGAACTGATCTAGGCTTTGCACTCAGTAGATGAACCAACAACACACAAGTGAGTTACGTAAGCTCCTGGGACCTGCATTGTTTACATAAAATAAAGATATCATAAAAGCAAAGCCATGCAGGTGTAATGCAATTGTTCAGTACAGTACTGAGACCAAAGTAAGAAATGCTAAGTTGCAGCTATTACATATGGTTTGTTTGTTTGTTTGTTTGTTTGTCTTTTGAGATAGGGTTTCTCTGTGTAGTCCCGGCTTTCCTGGAACTCACTTTGTAGACCATGATGGCCCCGAACTCAGGGATCAGACTGCTACCACTTGCTATTATACACTAGCTTGCTGTTACATAATTTTACACAGACACATAAATCAATCATTATCTGTGTGCTCCAGGCAGGTTTTCCTTACTCTTCTACATGTATTCTTGTTTTACTTTTGTCCAGTTCTCTAGCCTCTGAACTCTCTTCCAAGCTTTCCTAGAACCATTTGCTCCCGTAGTGACTGGATATGACAGCTAGGCACCAGGCCAGGACCTGCTCACCTCATACATGTCTTATTGCTTACACTGGCACAACAGCCTATAAGTCTCTACAGAAAGTCCTCAGGCCGCTGAGACAGAAATGTCAAGTCTGTCAGACGCTGGTACTGTGACTGTGTAAGGTGAAAAGGTGCCACTCATTTAAAATACTGCTTAATTTGTTTTTCCCCTAAGGACTGGAGAGATAGATAGCTCAGTGGTTAAGAGCACTTGTTCTCAAGGAAGACCTAGGTTCAGTTCCCGGCACCCACAGAGCCACTCACGACCATCTGTCCTCTAGTTCCAGAGGATTCAATGCCTTTTTCTGACTTCCTGGGGCACCAGGAATGCACATGGTGCTCATACATACATGCAGGCAAAACACTCACACACATAAAATAAGATAAATAAATCTAAAATATTTTTTTTAATTTTTCTACATTTTTGTGTGCCTCCAGGTAGCCACAGCACAAGTGTAGATAGAGGTAAAAGGACAGCCTGCAGGAGTCCGTTTTCTCCTTCTTCCATTTGTGTCTTGGAGATCAACCTCAGGTCACCAGGCTTGGGGGTAAGCTCCTTTACTCGCTAAGCCGTCTTACTGGCCTTACACTGTGTGGCAGACACTGGGGGTCCCACAGAAATCAAGGACAGAGCCTTCAGGAGCTTGGATCATAACGGAAGGAAACAAACAACGAAAATAAACAAGAGCTTATTAATAAACAAATGTACATGCCTATAGACCCAGTTACTTCTGCAGTTGATGTGGAGAGATTATTTTGAGGCCAGGAACTGGAGAGCAGTCTGGGCAACACAGCAAGAACCCCATTTCTAAATATATATGTACATGAGTACATACATACATTCAAGCAAGTAAAATAGAGTCAATGGTGTTGTCAGATGATAAAGACTAAGGAGAAAGAGAAGGGAGATGGGGGCAACCATGGAGAGGCCAGCACAATAGATGCGTTTGCCTCTGTTTTCTAACAGCAAGTCCAGAGACAGGGGCACAACACACAGAAAATATGGCCTTTTTGCACTGCACTGGTCCTTGTTATTGGGGGTCAGTGTTTGGAACCAACATATTCTCTGTGTCATTGTGAGGAGACCTCCTTCATCAACAGACAGCATTTACCCCCCTGAAGCAAACACTAAAACAAAGCAGAGATACTTAGCATGTGGGTTGCAGGGACTGAGACTGCCAAAATATTCTGTCAGCTCTGCCTCCAATGGAACATTAAATGGTTAAGATCATTAGTAATAACATAATTATGGGGTTGCAAAACATAACAGCTCATCTGTTTCTCAAACTAAATTGTTGGTTTTTTTTTTAATTTAATGTGGATGGGTGTTTTGCTGCATTATGTCTGTGTATCACACGCATGCCTGATGCCTGCGGAGACCAGAAGAGGGTGTTATATTGGATCCCCCAATATATGGAGTTACAGATGTTTGTGAATCACCATCTGGGTGTTGAAACTTAAACCTGGGTCCTGTGGAAGAGCAGTAAGTGCTATTAACCTCTGAGCCTTCTCTCTAGTCCCTTAAACTGAGTTTAAAAGTATACTCTGAAAACTCAGAAGAGCAGAAATTGGGAGGTGGCTCAGTTGGTGACTCGATCAGTTGCAAATATAAGGACCTGATCTTGGATTCTCAACAGCCGTATTAAAAAAAAACAAAACAAAACAAAAAACCAGGTGCAGTGGCAGACACCTGTAATCCAGGCATCTGAAGTGGAAACAGGAAAATCTCTGGGACTTACTAGCTACCCAAGATAGCCAAATCAATGAGCTCCAGGTTCAGTGAGAGACCCAACCTCTGAAAGATACGTTGAAGAGCAATAGAGGAAGATGCCCAATGTCAACCTCTGGCCTAAGAGGCCAGAACAGTCAGAACTGAGAGAGCAGCAAAAAATAGAACACAAATTTTGTTTTGTTTTGTTTTTTGCTTTTTGAGACAGGGTTTCTCTGTGTAGTAGTCCTTGCTGTCCTGGAACTCACTTTGTAAGACCAGGCTGGCCTCAAACTCACTGAGATCCACCTGCCTCTGCCTCCTGAGTGCTGGGATTAAAGGTGTGTGCCACCACTGCCTGGCAAAAAAATGAATTGAAGAAGAAAGAAGAAGAAGAAGAAGAAGAAGAAGAAGAAGAAGAAGAAGAAGAAGAAGAAGAAGAAGAAGAAGAAGGAAGAAGAAGAAGAAGGAAGAAGAAGAAAAAGAAGAAGAAAAAGAAGAACAAGAAGGACATAGGCAAACTGAAGCTGCCACCAAATAGAGTCACCACTGTGTGATTGAGGCCAGGAAATGTTTTTCTTACCACCTAACAAATTTCTCACTATTCCAGGTTTGTCCAGCAGATGGCAGAATAGCCTTAAAAAATCTTTCTTACCAGACAAATTTCTCTAATGGTACAATAACCAGAATGAGGTCAAGATATTTAAAGCAGGAGTGGGATGTGCTAAACTCATATAAAAATAAAATAGTGTCAGTGTGTGCTAAATGCATTTGTTAAAACATCACAATGAAACCCACTATTTTGTACAGTTAATACACAATAAATGTTAATAAAAATAAGCTTGTGCTTCATTTATTTGTTTCACTTGATCTTCAGCTGTACATTTGGGGCTTCACAGTGGTCTCAATGTTAGCACCTAACCTTTTGCAAACTGACTCCCCAACACACTACTGCAGTGACCCACTGTCCTCTTTTTTGGAGATTTCTTCCTAACCCAGGGCCCTTGATGCAGGATGTTTGGAAAGTACCTACCTTCCTTTCATTGACTCATCCATGAAATACCAGGAGTAGAAATAAGTACAGTTCTCCCAGTCAACAAGGCCTGGCCCGAGTTAGTATCTGTATTGGTGGGATTATCTCACTGGGGGGGAGGGGACCAGCAGAGTGAATGAGACACCTGTCTCCTCATCTTATCCCAGCTCCTAGTGCCTGTCTGTGATGTGGTGCTCTTTCTTCTATGTGACACCCTCAGGACTCAGCTCTTCACATGCAGGTGTCTACAGGATGGTACCCTGCTGTGACAGAAGAAGAGTGAAACACAGGTTACATTCTTGGTTCTGTTTGCGACAAAGCTGCCTGACCTCCATGTACCTATCCAACTTCCTTGTGCTTCAGTCTTCTCTAAGGATGTGGGCACTAGCATGTACCAGCTGTGAGCATCGGGAGATTGGGATAACCCACTGAGCCTGCAAAGCTGTGGCATCCTTCAGGCTAATGAAGCTGTCACATATTCAGACTCAAATAAGGAACAGAAAGTATTCTTCACCTCCAGATTCTGGAATCTTTGTGATCTTACTTTTAGGAACAAGCTGTCCTTGAGTTTGCTATATAGCAAAGGATGACCTTGAACTTCTCTTGAGTGCTGGGATTACAGGATATGTCACCACACCTAGTTTGTATGGTAGTGGAGATTGGACTCAGGGCTTCGTACATATTAGGAAAGCCGTCGGTGCACCGAGACACATCCTCAGCTTGGAGTCTGACTCTAGCTAGACACTTCTGTGCAAAGTCAGAAATGTTCACATCTCTCTCAGCCTGGCCCGTCATTCTAAGCCTCCTCAGCTGCTCTCTCAAACAGATTCCAGCCAACCATTGGTCCTCAGTAGAGGCTATCTGTACCAATGCTCCATAGGCAATAGATTCCACTGTGCGTGGACCTTTGGCCTAGTGAAAGCCAAAGAGGTAAGTAAGGGCAGGGTGCAGAGAAGGCTTTCCCAAGACTTCAAGGGTGTGCCCTCCTACTCTAGACCTTCAGGCTTTTATGCGGCTCTTTGATAAAACTGAGTCTCAAGGCACAGAAGAGAACGTGGTGCTCCTGTTTTCTCCTCCCCATTTAGTGCAGTGGGAATTCAACTTCTGTGCCTAGAGAGTGATCACCATAGTTGTAATCCTCCTGCAGAGGACATCGACATAATGATGTCTCAGTTGACACAGCATGGCACTAAC